TCACAGCAGGTCTGGCACGGGTCACAACACACAGTCTTGCATGGATCACAGCAGGGCTTCTGGCACGGGTCACAGCACACGGTCTGGCACGGGTCACAACAAGGCTTCTGGCACGGGTCACAGCACACGGTCTTGCATGGATCACAGCAGGGCTTCTGGCATGGATCACAGCAGGTCTGGCACGGGTCACAGCACACAGTCTTGCATGGGTCACAACAAGGCTTCTGGCACGGGTCACAGCAGCTCTGGCACGGGTCACAACAAGGCTTCTGGCACGGGTCACAACACACGGTCTGGCACGGGTCACAGCAGGGCTTTTGGCATGGATCACAGCAGGTCTGGCACGGGTCACAGCAGGGCTTCTGGCACGGATCACAGCAGGGCTTCTGGCATGGATCACAGCAGGTCTGGCACGGGTCACAACACACAGTCTGGCACGGGTCACAACAAGGCTTCTGGCACGGGTCGCAGCAGGTCTGGCACGGGTCACAGCACACGCTCTTCTGGCACGGGTCGCAGCAGCAGGACTGCTGGCAGGGGCTGCAGCACACGCTCTTCTGGCACGGCTCGCAGCACACGGTTTTCTGGCAGGGGCTGCAGCACACGCTCTTCTGGCAGGGGCTGCAGCACACGGTCTTGGTCTTCACGACGGAGCAGCATCCCGTGGAGCAGCATCCAGTGGAGCACATTGTTGTCGGGAGTGTGTGGTGGAGGGGCGGACGGAGCGAGGGACCTGAAACACAACGGATGTTTTAGCCTGGAAACGCTGCTGTGAGGGGTTCACATCCCACCCCCGGCCTCCTTACTGAGCTCCTTGAGGTGCCCAAAAACTTCCCTGAGTCGATAAGGAAGATCCTTCCAGAAATCGAGCCACCCATCGCTGTCCCAGAAAGATTTCGGCCGCCTTCCCTCCCCCCATGGATTTCCACCCCCAAAAAGCTCATTTTCCACTCTGCTCTCCCTATTTATTTTATTTATTTTTTTTTTTTTTGCCAGACCAACAGGCTCAAAAGATCCAGATTTCCTAGAGAGCTGCAGATCACGGAATCATAGAACGGTTTGGGTTGGGAGGAGACCTCTAAAGGTCAATCCAAAACCCAAAACCCAAAACCCAACTGCGAAGTTCAAACGCAAAGAACACATTTCCATTCGTTGCCCGACCGAACCCCCAAAAAACCATCACCCACCACTGCTTGTAGGTGCCACTTACCGTAGTAGCAGCTGAGAGGTGAAGCTGTGTGAGGAGCAAAGGGACCTGGGGACCTTTTTATCCAGCTCGGGATTGTCCTGCCGGACATGAGGTACCCCCCAGCAATTCGGGATTTACGCACTCAGCCCGCGCTTATTCACCCCGTGGGCCTTTCAAGCTGTTTAGTCCTTGCCTCGTGGGTTTTGACCAACCCCTCAATTTTGTGTCATTACCAATTCGTCGTGTGAATTTTTTACAGTTTTTTAATGTCGAGTTAATTCTTGCGGGATTGTTGAAAGGGTTCTCTTCTTTTTTTTTTTTTTTTTCCCCCCCTGCTCGTTTTGCATATGGTAAAGCTGCTTGTTCAGCTGGGGAGTGCTTAATTAACGTCAAAATCCTCGTTAAGACTGAGGTGCAGTGGATTCCAGAGGCTTCTGGACGTCGGTCGCCCCTCGGTAATGATTTTTTTAGAGTAGAATTCCAGGAAATGGAATTCCGTGGCCCGAAGGAAGAAATGGTGAAGCCCAGTTGGGGTCTCTGCTCATCAGAAGGGCAAATATGGAACAGAAAGCTCTTGAGGTCTCACCCCCCACCCTTGCCTCATCCCATCCACTCATGGGACGGCACTTGGCCTTGGAACAGAATCATGGAATGTCCTGGATTGGGTAGGGAAGGGACCCACAAGGATCCTCAAAGTCCAACTGCTGGCCCTGCACAACCCCAACGCCCAAACAGTCCCTGAGCTCTGGCAGCTCAAGATCAGACGTTTTAGGTGCAAAGACGGTGCCAATTCCCCGTGGAAATCCAGAATTCGGGGTCAGGTCAGGGTCCATATTTTAACCCCGACTCCTTTTTGGCTCCCAACTCCTTTTCGATGCGTTCGAATCAAAGCCCGATGCAAAACCCACCCCCCCACCCCCTCCCCTCTGGAATTTTTGCATCCTGTTTATGCTCGGCACGACTCGATCTGCAGAATTCCTATTCAATTCTTTTCAAGTTCCCCTCTGCCCTCGAGTGATGGAAGGGCCACCTACGGACGTGATTTCGGGAATAACTCAGCGCTCATCTCCCAGTCACCCGTGGACGGCCATTAAGCGCTGATGACAACGATCGCCTCGTGATTATTCATTAATGACCGGCCTTAATATCTGTTTTTTTTGCATGAGGGATGGCCTGAGCACCTCGAGGATTTCCAATTAAGCCACGCATCTTTATGGAAATATTATCTCCCTGCTGTCAGAGGAAATTTCTGGGGGGGGGGGGGTGTCAGGACCGTGACTGACGTGATGGAAGGTTTTGGGTCTGAGGTCACCCCGAGGTGAAGGGTTGATCCTGCTGCTTGGCCACCCTCCCCTCTTGTCCTGCGCCCTCCCTGGAGACACCCTGAGTTCTGCTGAGGTGAAGGAGAGAAGATTTAGGCTGTGTTTGCTCAGCCAGGGCTAAAATCTTGGGCGCTGAGGGAACGATAGGTCGTCACGGACCTCCTGTTGGGCTTCTGGTGACACAAAACCTCCATTTTCACCCAGTTCTGTTGGGTGAATTCTCTTCAGATTTGGCTGCTTCGAGGAGCTGCTCCTGCCTGGGAGGGTTCAGAGGGCCGTGAGGTCACCACTTCTCCAGGCAAGGTCTTTCCAAGGTCAACGTTCCTGCTCGCTAAAAACACGGGCTTAATTGAGCTCAGCCTCATGCAAATGAGCAGGTGAGACCAGCTCAGCGCCACACATTATCATCTAATTAGTGATTGAGATTTTAGACACCAGCTGAGCACCTGCACCCCTTCCAAAACAGCCAAGGGGGATTTCTGAGCCAGCAGAGAAATTCCAGGAGAATCCAACACTGGGAACGCGAGGAATCCTGAGCAGGGAGGTGTAAAGTAAGAGGTGTGGGTGAAAATAAGGCAGGTTTTTTTTGGGGTGACTTCGTGTATGGATTTGGTGCATTGCTCTTGCTTTACCAAACCCCCCATCCTGCTAGAGCTGGATGTGAATATCAGAAGTGTCTGTTTGGAGCTCTGTGGGATGGATCTGCAGGGATCCCATGGGGAGGCCCATCAATGATTGTACCCAAGGAAAGATCCAAACTGGAGACTTAAAAATTTCCCCAATTCAATTTTGCACCGAGCGGGGGGGTTTAGGAGGCTCCACAAGGTGCCCCTCTGTCTGTTTGGATTGGAGAATTATGGATGCAGTGAAGCAACCCTTGCTGGCAGACGAATTCCTCCCCATTAATCCTTAGGGGGTTTCCTGCAGTTTATCCTGCTTGTGGAAATCTGCTGTTACGTTATTTAACACGCATTAAGCAGAGCAGAAACGCCCCTTTAGGCTGTTCAGAGTGTTCTCCTCTCCAGGCTGAGCATTCCCAGCTCTCCCAGCCTTTCTCCACAGGGGAGGGGCTCCAGTCCCTTTCCCAACCTCGTGGCCTCCTCTGAACTCGCTCCAAGGCACAGAAATGTCCCGTGGTCGGTCGGGGAGGAGAAAGTTGGGAGTCCTGGGTGACCAAAAGAAAGTCCCAGGTCGAAGACAAACCCACTGCTGTGGGCACAGAGCTCCCCTAACCCAACACCCACCTGCAGGGAGGGCAGGAATGAGTCAGAAAATGAGTTTTTCCGGGGGGGCAGCTGCCGAGGGTCGCGTGAAGATGAGCCACCTCCTGGCGAGGACCACGACCCACGTGCAAGGTGAGTAATTAATTGCTCTCCCTGCGTCCCGCTGGCAACTCTCCCTTTTCAGCCTGTCCCCCCCCCCCTGTAATGACAATTTTCTCCACAGCCTATAAATAGAAAATTCCCATTACCTGCAGGCCAACTGGTCATTTAGTGGGTATTGCAGAGCCCCGTTTCCCACGCCCCGGGATGGGTGATGGTGGATGAGTCACCCCCAGGGAAACCCTCTCTCCTTTTACAATGGAGAGAAATTGTTTAATTGAGGGTATTCCAGAGGCAGGCTGCAAAATCCCTTGCGGGATTTGCTTTGCTTTGCTTCCAAAAACAGCAGCAGGGAGGTGAGAAACAGGCAGGAAAAAACGTGAATCCACAGGTCAGGCCCCTCCTGGCTGGAAACCCCAAACCCCCCCAGCATGTGCTGAGCTCTCTGCAGGGATTTGTTTCCAATTAACCCTCCCAGCCCTCTGCGTGAGGTGCTCCTGGAATCACTGCTGGGAGCTGCAGGCATTTTCCGTGGCTTTCATGTTTCCTTGGCATTCCTCCCTCTTGAGCTGCTTTCACCAGGGATTAAAGCATGGCTCCAAACAAACCCACGAGAAAACGCGGATGCCGCCAGACAAGCACGGAATACCAGGATTGTTGAGGTTGGAAAAGACCTCCAGGGTCATCCAGCCCACCCTGTGCCCCATCCCCACCTTGTCCCCCAGCCCAGAGCACTCAGTGCCACTTCCAGTCCTTCCCTGGGCACCTCCAGGGGTGGGGACTCCCCCACCTCCCTGAGCAACCCTTTCCAAGGCCTCACCACCCTTTCCATGGGGAAATTCCTCCTGATGTCCCACCTGACCCTCCCCTGGCACAGCTGGAGGCTGTTCCCTCTCCTCCTGTCCCTTGTTCCCTCGGAGAAGATCCTCGGGCTCCCCCCTCCTGTCAGGGAATTCCAGAGCCAGAAGGTCCCCCCTGAGTCTCCTTTTCTCCAGGATGAGCCCCCCCAACTCCCTCAGGAGTTTCTCCAGCCCCTTCTCCTGCTGCTCCATCCCCTTGATGTGATTTGAGGGTCCCAGACCTGGACTCAGCACTCGAGGATCCACCCGGCACAGAAGGACAATCCCTGCCCCTGCTCCTTTTCCCCCACTATTTTTGATCCAACCCAGGTGCCCCCTTGGGCTTCTTGGCCACCTGGGCTCACCTGGGCTCGTCACCCGCACCCTCAGGCCCTTCTGGAGCTTCCCAGCCACTCTTGGAGTTTTTCCAGGAGCTTTCCCAGGGGTTTGCTGTGATCCAAGCAGGGGATTCAACACTCGGCCCTGTCAAACCCACCCCTTGGCCCGTCGGTCCATCCTCTGTGACAGAGCGGTGACTGAAAACAACCACAACTGTTTGTTTGGCTTGAAACACCATTTTTATTGTCTTGCTTGGAGCAGCAAAGCGAGGAGGAAACCCTTCCCCGGAGGGATAGAGCGCGTTGCGTCGGCAGAAAGAGGATAAACGGCTCAAAAACCTGTGGAACCGGGAGGCTTCACCCAAAAATGGTGTCACCTCCAACCCTTTTCAGGGCTGTTTTCCTGCAGAGAAGGCTGGAAAAAGGCTGGGAAGGCTGGAAAAAGGCTGGGAAGCTGCGGGCACCGGCGCTGAGCTCGAGGCTTTTGAGGGAGGTTGGATCCTCCTTCAGTACTTGGGGTACGCGGGCGGCATCTTGCAGATGTTCTTGGCGTACTGGGGGCAGAAGGGGGCCGGGGGGCAATAACGCTGCACGGGGGGGTAATAGCACTGCTTGGGGGGGCAATAACTCTGCAGGGGGGGGCAATAACGCTGCACGGGGGGGCAGCAGGGGGTCACGTAGCCGAACTTCTGCACCGGCTGCCTCTGGATGGTGTAGTGGCAGGAGGGCCCCGAGTCGTGGCAGGACGAGCGGGAGCCGTGGCAGGAGGACTCGTAGCTGTGGCAGGAACCCCGGGAGCACATTTTTCCTGGAGTTATCAGCAGAGCTGCGTGGAGCAAGAGAGCAGCACGGTGAGAGGAGGCTCTTTTTTAATAATATTTTCTTTTCTCTCTAGATCTCCAGTCTGGAGTCTCCGGATTCTCCTCCCGCTTTTCCCTGCCCGATCCAGACCCGACGCGCTCTCGGTCCCCGTGGATCTGCTGGGTGTGCTCTGGGAGCTGCTGTGGGAAATCAGGTCCCTACAGGCCAGCTGGAGCACCCACGAACCCGTTTCCAAACCTGCCTCCCTTGTGAAAGAGCTCAGAGCTTTGTGCTCCCCTCGAGCACCTTCCCGGTGATCCCCATCCCTCCACCTGCCATTCCCTCTTCCCCAGGGCCACAGGGAGGAGGAACTTAAACCAAGTCCCAGCTCCCAGGAGGCCCTCTTGTGGAGTCTTCTCCTCCCTCAGCCAGAGCAGAAAGGGTGAAATTTGTCTTACCCTCTTCAGCCTCAGCGAGAAGTTTCTGGAAGCGAAGGCGAGAGCGACTGAGGACGGCCGGGTCGAACGACCTTTTATACCCTCCAAAAAAGGTTATCAGGGGTGTGAGACACCTCTGTGCAACGCCAGTGTAATCATTTCCGCTCTCCATCCCTATTTTTAGGGTTTTCCTCTTTGGACACGCCACGGGTAATTCCCGACGCAGGGATTTTCCTCGGGAGACTGACACTAATCTGACGGGCGTTAATTAACCGGGCCAGGGGATAACTGGGATTGCATCAGCGGCAGGAAGGCCTCAGAAATGCTGACTCCTGGGGTAAGGTCCCCCGTTGGGAGCAGGTGACAGCTCAGGACTTTAATTTGCCTGCTGCCAAGAGGAAATGGGGGATTTATCAGCTGTCACTCCTGGGGCACGGCGCGGAGCTGGAAAATCCGGAGGGATCTCCTCGGTTCCCTGGTGTGGCCAAAAAAAAAAAAAAAAAATGAGGAAATGGTTCTGGTTCTTCTTCATGTGTTTCCTTGGGTTGGCAGGCGATTGGGGATGATCCCATCAGATTGTTCCTCGTGAATCAAAAGGTTGTTGGTGCGTGGGGTGGGAGGGAAAACAGCTGACCGTGAGCTCTGCGGAAGGGAGGAGTTTGTGTTCGGTTTTCCCATTCCTTGGTTTCTCTTTGCTGATATTTTTATGCTTTTTTTCCCCCCCCACCCCACCTGACCTCTCACCTGCAGGGAAGTGGAAGAAAGCAAAGGGTTCAGAGAAAGTTGGAGCAAATATTGGGTTCCGTCACTAGAGGTGAAAGTGTGCCCACTGAAGCTGGGTTTATAACCCTCTTTAACCCAGATTCTGAAGCTGAAAAAAAAAACCCCAACTCATCAACTTGGGGAAATGTTGCCCATTAGAGCAATTTATTGACTGAGAAGGAGAAGATCCTCCCAAAGTGTGGGTGTCCTGCAGCTTTTTCTTCAGGCCACGGGCAACGTAATCGCTTGTGGTGAGTTCTGTGTGGAGCGAGGGAGGACGGCCCCAGTTCCTCAGGGACATTTTGTGACTCAGTCGTGGGTCCTTCAGACCAAGACCTGCGCTTGCCCAGCCTCCCAAATCGGTGCTGGTGTGACAGTTCTTTCCCCCCAGGCTTTGTCCTGGAGCATCACACCGGTGTTGCTCCAAAAATCCTGCCACCTCCCCAGCTGCCTTCCAAAAATGGGGTGTTTTTGGTTACACCCACTCCAAAAAACATCCCTGAATCTTTCAGATTCGGGTCCTGTTAAAGAGAACGTGATCCCTAAAAGAGTTCTCGTTGTCCACTGATCACAGGCCTCGCAGTGGGGAGTTTGTGGCTTCTGTTTTCGGAGGCTCAGACGTGTTCAGGTGTTTGGAAATATTTATATTTATTATTTATGTGCCCAAGGTGTGAAATTGGGCTCGGAGGAAATGATGTTGCATGTTGAGAAAGAGCAACTCTGACCTACTTATTGCCCTTCCATTTAATGAGCTATCAGAGAATCCCAGGATCACTGAGGTTGGAAAAGACCTCCAGGATCATCCAGACCAGCCTGTGCCCCCATCCCCACCTTGTCCCCCAGCCCAGAGCACTCAGTGCCACTTCCAGTCCTTCCTTGGACACCTCCAGGGGTGGGGACTCCAAACCTCCCTGGGCAGCCCCTGCCAAGGTCTGACCATCCTTTCCAGGAGGAAATTCCTGCTGATGTCCCCCCTGACCCTCCCCTGGCACAGCTGGAGGCTGTTCCCTAATGTGTACGAATGTGTCTTCCATTCATTCCCAAATGAATGTGGGAATTATTTGCCACCAACTACTGGGATACCTTGAGAACATGAGGAAATTTGACTGAAGAACCCAGAAAAAAAAAAAATGTTTAAAAAGAAAGAAAAATCAAGGGCAAAAAAGAGAATAAAGAAATTCAAAGACAACAAGGGTCTCATGAACTGCCGAGATTTATTATTTCCCACACCCAGCTGAGTCGGAAGCAGAAAATGCGCAACAGGCAAAGATCCCCAACAGCAATTAAGCCCTGAATAATTAGAAAGGACGTTTCCCAAGTAATTAAGAAAGACTGACACCGCGAACGTTAATTAGGGGGACACTTCATCCACGACGACAAAGACGAGGCAGCATTTTCAGGAGGGAGGAGGAGGAGGAGGAGACGGGGCCGTGGTCGGAGCCGGAGTCAGGGTTGGATCCTGTCAATACTTGGGGCAAGCCGGTGGCAGGTTGCAGATGTTCTTGGTGTACTGGGGACAGTAGGGCACCTGGGGGCAGTAGGTGACCTGGGGGCAGTAGGGGACCTGGGGGCAGTAGGGGACCTGGGGGCAGTAGGGCCCGGGGGGGCAATAACGCTGCGCGGGGGGACAGCAGGACGACGTCACGTAGGAGCATTTCGGCACCGGCGGCCTCTGCGCGGGGTAGTGGCAGGAGGGCTCCGAGTCGTGGCAGGAGGAGCGGGACCTGAGGCAGGAGAACCAGGACCTGTGGCTGGAAGAGCGGGATCCGTGGCAGGAGGACTCGTGGTCGTGGCAGGGGCCGCGGGAGCACATCGTTCTTCCTTCCGGAGCGCCGGGGGAGCTGGAGGGAAGAGAGAGAGAGAGACCCATCAGCCTGGAAGAGCTGGGACCCACCAGGGCCTCTTGATTTCTCCTTGGCTCTTGGCCTGTAGCGGTGTCATCCTGTGTTTTGGAATATCTGGGATGCCAGTGGTTCTGCCTTGGCTTTTGGGGGATACTCCATGGTGGTCCGGCTCTGATGGGAATTTCCCAGCCAAGATGCTGCTTAAGGTAAAATTTACTTCTCAGACTGCACTAACTTTCCTGAGCTCTCTCCTCCTCCATCACCAGCGAGCTTGGGAATGAATTCCTTGCTGGCTCCCACTGTGTCTTTGTGGATCTGCTCCTTCCACGACTCCTATTTTTCTACCATCCCATCTCTGAGCAAACCACGAGCACCCTTCGTGCAACCGACACGTTCAGGCACCCAGCCCTCCCAAACCAAGGGATTTCTAAGACCAAAGGCAAGGTCTAAACACAGAGTTAGCCCTCTGTGAACTTCTGCCTCTCGAGAGAAGATAAATCCAATACAATCCAACTCACCCTTCGCTGGAGCAAGAGGAAGAGCACGGAGAGCTGATGCCGGATGGAGGAGGAACGAGGCACGGCCAACTTTTATACCTTCCCAAGGGGGTTGTCCGAGAAATTAGGCATCCCTTGGCAATGCTGACACAAACACTCATATTCATATTTATCTTCTGTGTCTGGTTTTGAGCATTTCCGATTCGACGCAGTCAGGAAAACCCATTATGACTTTTTCCCCTCCTATAGCACTATAATAGACACCAGAGGATTTCCCAATCTGCTTAGGAGGGAATTTTGAAGGCTGGGGCATTAAAAAATGCACCTAACCCCGGCGTTATTAAAGTGATTTGTCCCGTTGGGCAACCCGGGATTGCATCAACGTGCAAGCCAAGGGTGTTGACTCGGAGCCCGGCGCGCTGCCCCTTGGTCTGCTCACGCTCACATTTTGATGGAGAGGTTGTTTTGTTTGTTTGTTCCCCCCCCCCATTCCTGACACGAGGCACTGTAATTAACAGCCACAGCTCCGGGGGACTCGATTAGGGGGAGGTCCTGCTGACGAGCTCCGGAGGTGACGCCGAAAGGACCTTCCCCAGATCCGATTTTTTTTTTTGGTCGTTCCAGATCGTTTGTGGATCCGCCAACCCCTCAGCTGTTTCTCTGCAACGCTAATTCCTCCTCCAAGGAAGGAGGGGGGAGTTTCAAAGCCTTTTGTGGGAGGATTTTCCCCTCCTGCCAACCTGTTTTCGGACCCAGCTGGCTTTGGGGTCCCGTCTGATTTAAGCAGTTCTGTCATTTTTACTCTTTTTTCTTTTTTTTTTACTTTCAAGTTTCTTCCACGATGGCCCAAGATTTCAGGACAATAAATGAACCAATAAAATAAAACGGGTGATTGTTGTTCCTTTCCTTGGGACTTTTATCCAGGAGAGTTCCTCGGGAACAACTCAGGGGTCAGGGAAGGAGTTGATCTTTAAGGTTTTGTGACTCTCTGACTCTTCTTGCTGGTTTCTACAAGGCCGTGATTGAGCAAACCAAAAGCGTTTGAGGAAAACATTTCGGAGGCAAATCTCGTTCAGGAAAGGTCCTGTTCAGCTCTCAGGTTTAATAACTTAAGCTGAGTCTGGTTGTTGGGCTCCCTGGGAAGCTGATGCAGCCAAAAAGGAGCCAGCAGGAGGAACCCAGCCTGTTCTGGAAGAGATGGCTCAGCTGGGGAGATAAGGACAGTCCCAGGCTGCAAAAAAAAGCAGACACAGGTTTAGCACTTATTTTTAAGTGCCTGCAATTTTCTCTGGGGACAACAACTTGAGGCCCAGTGAAAGAAGGAGGGTTGGCAAAAAACCCCAAACCCATTAAGTGCTCATTTGCATTTTTCAGACACCTCGAAATGTTGGTAGTTCTGAGTCGGGGTGAGGAGTGGACTGTGAGGTGCTGCTGAGGGAGGGACTGAGTAAGGCAGTGCTACACTAAAAACAGTCATGGAATGGTTTGGGTGGGAAGGGGACCTTAAAAAT